TCCCGTCCTTGCTCTTCCTATCCAAAACATGATATAGTACCTCCTTTTCCTTCGGGGTCCAGGTCACGATTCCATTCTGCGTTGTAATGTGGTTCTCACCACCGCTGATTGTAGGGACGGGCGCATGATCTTCGATGATTTCCGCAAGCACGCTGGAGTATGCCTCCGCAGACTCCTTCGATAGCGATAATTGTAGATCCTCTAGCGCCTGGGCCCGCGTGCCTCTTGCGGATCTGCGTTCCGTCTTCGACGTTTGCACGGGTGGATTTGGTGTCGACGAAGTGGGACCAGTTGACGGAGGAACCGGTAACGGGGCGCTTGTTTGCGAACGCTTGATCTTGAGCTTGTATTCCGATGTGTCGTCGTCGTCTTCGTCTGGTTCATATGGAGTTGGGCTGCTCATGATCGAAGATAAAGAGGGCCAAGAGGCAATCGCACCACAGGCATAAGATTAGGGAAGATGGCGAACTCATTCCCTTCTCTCTCGCGCGCCCGTATAATCAGGAGAGCATTGCGGCACCGGCGACAGGTACAAGGCCGGGGCGTCTGCAGTTGACTGATCAACTTTCGCAGTTGGGATGGAAAGTTTTCTGATAAGATGCGGTGTTTGCACTGTTTGTTTCCCCGCCGCGTGCCGCTCGGATTCATTCCGCGACGGAGCATCTCAACACCATAGGCTGGATTCCATTCCCAATATTGGCATCATCCTGGTTAAGTCTTTGAGATTAGCACCGAGAAAATTGCAGATACTCTCCTGTTGACAACATCTTCAGCTCACTCTAGCTTCCCTGTCAGCTCTGAAGCTCTGCATCGGTAACGACAACGACAGTGCCAGCGGGACAGTCTGTATCTGCGACCACTATGAGACTTATACCACTCCAGTTCCGGAATCAACAAGGACGTGTAATCCAAAGAACCGTACCTGCTAGGTGCTGGGTGGCTTCAAAGCCTGGATAAAACGATAAAGAGCCGATAAGGCTGATTCCAACTAGCTCGCCCTCCAGGATTGGTCGGATGAACAGCGGCACGATAATGTGTTCATGACAAATTCCATTCTGGCTCACCAAAGGAAGAGCCCAGACTTTCATATAAGGATCACAGCTACAAATTACGATGCTACATCAACTTCATCCACGATGTAAAGTCGAAGAGGCCTACCCTTTAGCCACTTCGTTTAGTCTGTCTTGAGCAACAAGGCAAATATCTTAAACAACAAGATGTATAACATCCTCGTAATCAGGATGGACCAGACAAGGGAGAGAAGTGACTCACTTACCTAGTCTTCCGCTATATCAAGTCTGCTACTGGATCAACCAAAACGTTCGACCGCGTTTCATTACTACTGCCACAGATTTACATCTGCCATATGTCGCCAAGTTATCTCCGGCCTCGTGTGCAATAAGTGGTTATATAATAGCATTCTGCCCATCAGCATCCGGCCATACAACACACGGGATTTTGCCAATAAAAGAAAATTCGAAATAGACAGGTTATATCCGGTAATCATTTTGAGTCCAGACAGCAGACTCGATTACCAAGTGGAGAATCGTAGAAAGCGGTTGAAATGACTGGCCCGGTGAGAAGGCGAGAGCTGGCTGAACTTCGGAGATGCGACGGTGATGGTGGAACCCATAGAGGGGTAATGAATGCAGAAGGCGTCCGGAGCGCAAGCTAACGCCTATTCATTGAGCAAACTGCCATGACCCTGTTAGCAAGGTGCTTAGGTAGTGTTTTGTGTCTTTAGTGGCTCCTATCCCTGCACCGCGCATTCACAGGAAACATCCTCAGGCCTTGTTCTGTTCGACCTACACCTTGAAGCATTCGAAGATTCCCTCATTTTCGCTATTCTCATAATGTTTCCATGTCGAAGATACTGGCGAGGCGGCTGTCTGATTCTCCGGGTTGGTTTTCCCTCCGTCGATTGACAACGCTAAAATCTAGTACGCTGCCAACTAGCTTTCCCACTATATAAGGGAGCTCCACAGCGAAGGAAGTGTGCCTGTCAAGGAGAGACCCACTAACCGGGCCGCCCAGCCGCCAAATCAAGCCTCGGTTAGTTATTACTTACTCTGTAGACAATCTGAACCACCGGTGCAATCGCCAATTTGGGCCTGCCAGCATGTCTTACAACGCAGACGGTAATTGATCGACATGCTCGTGTAGGTATTCGTACACGAACTCCTTCGCTTCATACAACCTGCTCCACAGGATAACTTTACAGTTTACACACTCCGTCCATGGCGACTCCAATTCCAATCGTGCCATACGGGTTGACTTGCCCCGTGTAGCCAACTAGCCATGTACTTCGTTGTGACGCGGGATCACTCCAGATATGTCAAAGTACGGGCAAGGAACTCCGCAACGGAGACGCACTAATGGCAGGAATATTCCCTGGCCCGCTTGCTGCAGGTCTTTGGCTTATATCATGAGACTGTAGCCATCTTGAGGGACGCTGCTGACGGAAAAAATTCTCTCAAGCGTTCTTTTGAAAATGAAGGTCTCTAGTGCGGCAGTCCCTGTTCTTAGCATTCTGCCCGAGGCCAGCCTCGGGCTTGGTTCTACGCAACTTTGTGTATGTGCTTCGGTTTCAGTTCTTAGTGAGTGTACTAATAGCCTTGTCACCTAGTGCGCTGCTCTGCAAGCAACCTCCCTGCGTAACCAAGTCCTTTACCCTACTAGCACGGCATACAATGAGTCCGTGTCATCTTACTTTGCGGTCAATGTTCAGCTCGATCCTACGTGTATTGTGCAGCCACACTCTACGGAGGATGTCTCGCTCATTGTCTCGACTCTGACCCAAACCGGCGAAACGCAATGCCCATTTGCCGTGCGCAGTGGTGGCCATACCACCTGGCCTGGTGCAGCAGATATCGGGCAGGGTGTTACCATCGATCTGTCTATGATGAATAGCACCACATACCACAAGGATAAAGGCGTTGCATCTATCCAGCCGGGATCGCGCTGGCAGGCGGTCTACAAAGCTCTTGATCCCTATGGAGTCACTGTGCCTGGAGGACGCGGTGGACCAGTTGGCGTGGGTGGGTTCCTGATCGGAGGTGGAAATACCTTCTACACTGCACGTGTAGGCTTCGCTTGTGACAACGTCGAGAACTTTGAAGTCGTTCTTGCCAGCGGATCGATCGTCAATGCCAACCGGACTAGCCATCCTGATCTCTACAAGGCGTTGAAGGGTGGATCGATCAACTTTGGAGTTGTCACCAAGTATGACCTCAAGACGTTGCCTCATGATGGGCTTTGGGGTGGACTGGTCGTCTACGATAATTCGACCACCGACCGACAGCTCTCGGCCGCAGTAAACTTTACCAACAACATTCACAACGACCCCTACGCATCCTGGATCGGGATGTGGGAGTACAGCTCAACCACCGGGCAGAACATCATTGCCGATGCTCTGGAATACACCAAGCCTGTTGCCTTTGCACCCGCCTTCCATGAATTTACGAGTATTCCAAACATCACTGACACGATGCGATTTGCTACGATTTACAACCTGACGCAGGAGCTGGTCCAGGCAGCGGGCTACCGGTAAGCCAGTCCATGATAGATAGCCATTTTTGGTCGTCTTTTCCCTTGAAGAGGTCATCTTTCTGAGGAGGTCGACGACGGCTGTGCCAAAGTCGGTCCTTGTTGCTTGGGTCGCTAACAAATCACAACTCAGGGATATCTTTACAACCGGTACGTACAGGAACGACATCAAAGTCCTTCGCAAGGCGATCGACCTTCACAACAACAACATCGAAAAGGCCAAGTCGCATGTCAAGAGTGACTACTGGGCCATGGATGTTATTATCCAGCCTTGGCCTAAGCTTTTCGCTCAGCACAGCGTGGAGAAGGGTGGCAATGTTCTGGGCTTGGAGCGATTTGATGAGAACCTGATCCGTATGTGACCCGACCTTGTTCCTAGCGCAGCACTAATCCGTTTGCAGAAATACTATTCGACTACGCTTGGGATGATGCAAGGGACGACGATCTTTTCATCGGTCTTGGCCAGTCGATCCTGGAGGAGGTTGACGAGTACGCCAAGTCGATTGGGGCGCACAATGAGTACATTTACCTCAATTACGCCGACAAGTCGCAAAACCCTCTCAAGGGTTATGGTGAGGAGAATGTCGGATTCATCACTCGCGTGGCCAAAAAGTATGATCCAGATGGGGTCTTCCAGGTACAGGTTCCAGGTGGTTTCAAGATCAGCCAGGTGTAAGCAGCATTGAGTTACAAAAATTTACGACTCGTGGAAGCAAGTTACAGTAGAGCACAAAAAGAATGGAATAGCTTCGAGAAGACATACCCCACCCCCTCATTTCGCCTTGCTAGGCCGCGCCATTTTCGACGCGGAATTAGTGCTTCTCAAATTGCGGCGCAGGCAACCCGCATCGCAGTGGAGCCGAAATTGAAGCCAGCACGAGCCGTTTCAACGCGATCCGAACTAGCACGGTCTGATCGTTCGCTCGCCTCTACTCCGTACTTAGGGCTCCACCACCGATCCTTTTCACTCCTACTCCCCCCGACTCTCGGGCCTCTTGACGGCCAGGCTTTGGCCTGGACGGACGGCTGGTCGCGATTTAGTATTCCGCTCCACAAGGATGACACTAATCATGCACCGGAAAAGCTCTAAGTTTGGCTGGTTTGTCATCGATAATCATAGTAATTTACTGTTACGGCAGGTGTCCAATTTGCCACAAATAATGAAGGATGCGCATATCCTTGTCGTCTTGGGAGAGCGTGCATAAGCTTTCGATAGCACCTTCCGTGTTGAATCCATTGAGCGCACACAATACGCTTGTACATGAAGAGAAAAAGCAAGAAAAAGAAAAATGACCGAAATACAAATTCTTTCTCTCTATTCTGTCTGTGCCGTCCACTAGGTTCCATGCCTCAGGGGCACCTCATAGAGTATAAGCTCCCTTCTGGAACCCTTCTACACTTTATGAAAGTGTGAGGCTTAGTGAGAGCCTCTTGGCCTTCAATGCCACTTGAAAATGGCCATTATTACAATGGCGGACCCTCCCCCCGGGGAGACGTACGATTTTGACTACTCGCATCGCCATTTGTATACGGCCAATATGGCGGTGATTTCGGCGGGCTTAATCATCAGCACTAGCTGCCTAGCCTTGCGAGTGTATACCAAAGCACATTTGCTGCACAAGTTTGGATGGGATGATGGTATGTTAGCGCCTCACTGGTGAAGTGTGTATCTGACTTTCACAGTGTCTATTATCCTTGCTTGGGTAGGCCGCCACAGCGATTGGAATTGAAGCCATTCCACTAATCTTGCTCCAGGTGTTCTCTGTGGGCACCCAAGCATGCTCCATCTGTAAGTGCCTATTGTCATTGGTTATAACTCTACTAATATGTCAGATGGATACAAACATGGGGGCATGGGAGTCCACTTTTGGAATGTGACACCTGCAGTGTATGAAGTATATGTCAAGGTATGTTCTTCGAAAAATGAACCAATCAAAGTTAATGTATCTAGGTCGTTCTCTCCGCAGCCATTGTCTACGTTCCCGCTCTTGCGCTTGCAAAAATCAGCCTGATTATCCTTTACTACCGCATCTTATGTCACAAACGGTACCAGCAATGGATTCTATACGGCATCGCGTTTGTGGTCAGTAGCTACAGCTTTGCGCTCGTCTTGGCCTTCATTTTCGGCTGCCACCCAATTCAGAAAGGTTGGGATATATCAGTTACAGGGACATGTGTTGATCAATACGCGCTGTATGTTGCAACAGCCGTGTTGAACATCATCTCCGATATTGCGTTGATTTTGGTACCCATCCCAACGGTGTTGGGACTGAACATGCCGGGGATACAGAAGATAGGCCTCTTGCTGATGTTTCTGGTTGGCTGCGCGTGAGTATTCCCACACCAGTCCGTGTCATTGCTGACTTTATAGAACTCTCGTCACCGGCATCATCCGTCTAATCACTTTGATCCCCTTTCTTAATTCTTCTGACCCAACTTACAATATTGGTCGACCAGACCTGTGGATGTAAGTTCCTTACTCCGATCACAACAACACACTCTAATCGCGTTGCAGCAACATCGAAGCCAACTTCGCCATCATCTGCAGCTGCCTCCCCTTCCTCCGCCACTTCCTGCGCCGCTACGCCCCTCGCTTGATCGGTGAAAACAGCAGTCTTGCGCGTCGTTATCACAGCTACACTTATGATTATACTGGTGGAAGCCGAGCCCGGCGAAAGGAGGGTCTCACGCAGCTACAGGATGATATTGAGCTTGCCGAGAATGGAGGAAGTATGCATAGTGGAGTTAGAATATTCAAAGATGTCAAGGTGGAGATCACTACGGAGACGATGCCGGATGTACATCAGGAAAGAGAGAGGGATGGATATAGATGAGTATCAACCACTTTGTTTTTCTGTAGAATATGACATGGTATTACATCGTTTACTTGAATCGAGATAGCCTAATCTATAGCTTGCTTCATTGCAGATTGTCGTTCAGACACATGATTATTCCATGTTATTGCTGCCTCAGTCATCAAAGCGCTCTGTTCTGCTGTCTATGATAGCGGAACTCGAATCTCATATATGGAAGACTGTATTGTTTTGGAGTTTCTCTTGGTATGAATTCCCACCAATATTTATATACATTTATATAGGCCTTCTGGAATTCTCGTTCATTGCCCAGCGTATATCTTTCCGCTCAACGAACTTATGGTGGATGACTTCCGATGCACATCATCTCAAGATCGTGTCTTTCTTTTCGCCCAACGTTGATACTTAAATTCCATGTTTAACAGGTAAGAAAACTTCCAAGGTCGCTCCGGCATTGTGAAGCTTAGTGTGATTTTCCATACAGACGGCTAGGTTAAGTGACCTCGACCCCTCCCTCAGCTATATAGTGATCTTCTACTCAGGTTCAACACTAGTCTGTCAGACCCAGACTCTTCAAAAAGAGCCTCGTTTTCTGTACTTACTGCTTAAGTGTTTCGCGTGACGACTGGATGCAATGGATCCTTCAACATCTCGACTCATTTTGATTCAACTCAAGCGTGTCTTCTAAGAACTACAATCAAGTCTCGGTTGCTTCAATGCAAGAGGCTTCTGACTCTTTGACACGCGGTGAGTACAACCTCTGTTCTCTCTTACCCTCAGCTGGCTCATCTTGTGAAAACCACACACCTTGCTTATACACACTCTAGTGCTCCACACGCGAAAACAAACCCCCCTGCATCGACTTCCGCTTAAGTCGCATAGATGCCAGAATCTTTGGTCAAGTGAAATAGGGTGTATTGGCACGACGCAGATCCTAGCCTCATGGATAGAGTGTCTTTCCAGCTGACTTAGGGGTCATAAGCCCGAGAGGCTAGAGTTATCTAGAGGCACTACGGTGGGGGGTCCATCTGAAGTAATGATAGAGGAACTGTGGGATTAAGACTCACGGAGATCAAACACAGATTACTTGCCTTGTCATTTGGAGCTAGTCTATGTTCCTGTGGTATAACAACGCTATCGTCATCATCATCAGCTTGCCGGGGCCATTGCAAGCCGAGAGTCATCATCGAGGCAGGGATCTGGATAGAGTGGAGAAGAATGAATCGGGTCCATACCGTATGCATACCGGCACAACATCGAGTGAGAGGGTAAAACAGTAGGTATTTTTCAAACCCGCATATACTTCGGTAACAGGCTAGGCCTGTCAATATGTTGACAACATAAGAGCCTGAGTGCATGGTATGTACGTTAATCGCTCCAAGGTATTTTTATCAGTAGTAGTAATATAAATACTCATCTATTCCCTCTGCTTCAATAAAGCCAATCCATAATTCCGTATCCCTACACTTCTAGATACTACCACCCCTTCCCAAGTTCCCTCAACCTCCAATACCAAACCCCATCATGATCCATGCTCCCAAAAAATACCACCACCACCACCACCCCAGCCCCGAACATTCACCACCACCACTACCAACCACCAACATCCTCGGAACCTGGTACATCACACGATCCTCCAGTCCCTTCTGGAGCGACAAACGCAACCCCACAATCACACTAACCGCCGACACCAACACACCACCAGACACTCTACCCCTAAGCGCGCTCTCCCAAGCCACTACAACCTCACCCGCCCCTATCCTCACGAACAAGACATCCTACCAAACGCTATCCTCTTCCTCAGTAAAGACCACAACCGGAACGGACCGAGCGATATTAGCCGGAAAAGAGCTTGGTCCGATTCAGATGGAGTGGCGGGGGAGCGGATGGCTGCGGATGGTGAGTGCGCAGTGGGAGATTCTGGGATGGGGCGGAGCAGACAATGGTGAGTGGCTGCTTGTCTTTGCGAATAAGTCGATGTTCACGCCGGCGGGGATAAGCTTGTATTCTAGGAGGAAAACGGGCGTGGATGAGATGGTGTGGGCAGAGATTGAGGTGGAGTTGAGAGGGCTTGTGGAGAGGTATCCTGCGGAGGGGGAGTTGAGGGAGCTGGTGATGGGGATGGAGGTTGTGAGGTTTGATTGAGGGGTTGGTAGTAAATTAAGGAAGTTTTGCTGCTTTGGTGGAGGTTACGCTTTGTTGCTAGTTAGTACTTTGATGGGGGACTAGAGTGATGGGTATCGTATATTGCGTTTAGAAGAAGAGTATGTTTGGAATAATTAATCGTATATAATGAAATAAATGTAGATGAAAATCACTTTCGCGCTCGCAACATCAACCTTGTACTAGATCGAGGCACAATAGCCGTGGTCCAAACAAAGGTTCGTGGTGCATTCTGATCCGCCAGCTTGAGATCATACTCCATAATCACATGGCTGAGAACTTGTTTCAATGTCCTCGACACAAACCACCGACCGGGACTGTGATTATGGCCTATCAGCTACAGATAACTTGTTTGATTACTTGTGATGCTTACCATGCTTTTTTCGCCGAACCCCAGAAGGGATAGTTCCAATGCACGTCTGTATACTTTGGGAAAGCTCTCACCGAACCATCCGCTTCATCTACCGCCAGAAACCGATATGGATCGAATTTCTTCGGATCCGGATAATGCTCTGGATCTTGCATAATTGCCTCTTGAGGAACGGCAACAAGGTTTCCAGTTGGGACATGCGTGCCGTCTGCGAAAGTGTAGGGTGACAGAGCCACCCGTTGGATTGATACTGTCATTAAACAGGGTTTAGTTATCGGGCTTGATGTAAACTGCGCGTGATATGCGGGGCCTCACAGGCATCTAATGGGCTGAGTCGGGCAGACTCCCGTAGGAAGCTGTCCATCAAAGGCAACCGATCAAAGTGATCTTCATAGCTGGTCACGCTTCGCGCATGCTTGATTTCCTCGCGGAGCGGCTCGATGAACTCTGGATGGAGACACAAGTCATACATGGCGTATACCAGAGCCTGTTGAATGATTAGCCTTGGACGGTATCATATGGGCTGGTTGTGCTAACTGCGGCCATTTGATGCACGGAGGCAAAGAGAATAGCGATTATTTGTTGGGCCAGTCGAGATACTGTTCGTTGTTCTGGAGTCTTGGATGAATCTATTACCCACTGCATGCCGTCACACTATCATGACAGGTAGGTTAGTCCCGGAACAATAAGAGAGAGCTTCTTGACTCACCGGTGAGGGATCCTGGGATGTGCCGTTGCTCTTAACTCGATCTTCTACCTCGGCAGTAACAGCGCGGCCGATGAAATGCATAGCTCCACTCCAACGCATCATGGCTGGTGCCACCAACCTTGGGAAATCAGTATATACGTAGGATAGGCAACAGAGCGGTACTCACGGAACTAAGAATGATGGGAGGTGGCGACATAGTTCCATGGTTACCACGACGTCTTGAAGGTACCGATTGACAGCGTCCTCGAAAGCTGGATCGCTAGCTAAAGGCTCGTTAGGTCATAGCTGCTAGAACGGGGTGTACGGCATATTTCTCACCCAGCTTCTCACCCAAGAGAACGTAATTGTTGATTCGTGTAACAAGGTGCTTAGCTAGGGTAAATCCACTTGCTTGACTCCAACCTGTGACAAGATCAGAAATGCCATTGTTTATCATCATGGCTAAAGTGTACGTACCATCCGAGTCTCTATCTGTCAGCTCCCGCTTGAACAGATCTTGAACCAATGGTTGTAGGCCTTGCTGCATCTGAGGTAAATTAATGCGAAGCAGGACCTTGATGACACGCTTAGCAATATCGTTATTCGGATCTATATCGTTGTGCTGGAAGCCAAACAATGTGTATTTGTGCTGAATTCTCTATGACGCCGTGAGTTACAGTAAACTTGGGTACGTCAAAAAGTGTCCATACCTGTTCCATGGCCGTGTGGAATGAAAGCACGCTCTCCGCGCTCTCCCCCAGCTCCCGGACCTTTTGCTCGGAGGAGACTAATACCTGATACTCATCGAGAGCGGGAATCGCGAAGGACTTATCACGTCCCAACTGCTTGCGATTAGTTGGATATCTCAGAGCAGATCAGTAGACTTGGAGTTGCGTACTCTCTGATAGAGACTGAAGACCGTACCTGCCCCATCGACCACAAACTCGAGACTGGTGAACCACTTTCCGAACAATAAAATAGATGTACCCCCGATGTATGTGTTGAGCTATTGGTTTGAAGGCATTAGCTTGTGAAGGTGAATTTTGGATCGCGTACTAAAGCTGTATAAAGCGAGGAGATATGCATACCGGGCGCTTGCTATACATCTTTAGTAGCTTGATCAGCTGCCAAATAATCCACAGGGTCGCCACAATGTAAGACGTGCGCCTGATATCCAGCAGCTGGCATAGTGCCAGGCTGCTGCTATAAGTTATATCCGCAAGCATATTCCGAGCTGATGCTAATTCTCGTGCCGTTGGAAGTCAAGCTCAACTTGGACAGTTCCGGGTGTACTTGAAGAGATGCTTATATATCTTACGACCTGCTACTCCCCAGCTAGCACTATTCTCCCTGACCACTTGGCCCCTAAGCAACCACGAGTAATGTGCTTGTCACCCCTGATAGTATCACGATCGTCAAATCTCACCCAGCGATATCTTACGAGTCAAGGTAAGCAAACTACGAGGACACATCTGACGGCAACAGTGGATGCCTTGTAGGCTTCATCTGACCAAAATTTCCCGTCATTGCATCATTGCTTCCATCAGCAGCACACAGCCCTCAGAGAAGTCTGGCTGGAGAGATTATGTAGGGAAGCCATGGATTATCACTAAGGCTTAGAGAGGCACCCTCTTACCGATAGTAATCAGGTGTAGAAACCTGGAAGAGGAGTGGGAGCGAAAACGAAAGTATGATTTACAGCATTCAAGGTGTGCAGAGTGTTTCAGATACTCAGAACGGGCTATTATCCATTTGCACTGGCATAAGTCACAAGTCTCATTTAAGACGATGAATCTATAAATTACCATATGAGGTGAGACGGGTAGGGTAATTGATCGACAGGTGGGGTCTGGAGTAAGCACTAAGCGAAATGAACGAGACGTCGTTATGCAAAAACGGTGTCCAGGCCATTGACACCTGTAACGCAAGCCTTACCGGGTACATTGCTTTCTTTTAAAATTTTTGCAATGAAAGAAGGCTGTGACTACCCACGATCACCATGTAGACTGGGCCAGGATGAGCCAGCTGCAAGGGTTTCCCCCTTGCTCAGTCATATGCCCCGGCTTTAGGCCAATAAGTGTCCAATAATCCCTGCTTCTTTGTTTGGTTGGGCCAAAGATACATTGCCAGCTTCTATCCCCCCTTTTCACAAGACCTGATCTTCCCTTGACCTACAATACATTCATTACCTCCCTGCTTTGCCGCTATTTGCTATTACTCTGCGACATCTGCAACCCCCCAAGACCAGCGTTAGAGTATAGAGAATGCCCTTGAATCCGTTCTTAACAATTGCTCTTCAGACTGCCGTGGTGGTGACCACTCTGGGATTCACCCCGGCCCTGTCAAGCCTGAGGCCTGGCGCGTTGGTGATTGTCGCACTATGCACTGGCCATTGCATCTCCACCTCCTTGGGATACTTCGTTCGGACACCATGGGCCAGCCTCGCAGGCGGTTATTCGGTCATGTTACTGCTCCATTATGTCGACATAGGGCTGTTGACACAGTGGGAATTTGTCGACCTCTCCCCAACGAAGTCGCCCAAGACGCTAACTTCGACCTGGGTGGCCCGTGTACGGTTTGGTATCTGGGCGGCCTTCAATGCGCGATGCATTGGAACGCCTGAGCAGGTGCACCACATTCCTGAAGCGGTCACCTGCGACCGAGCCGCATTCCTCCGTCGATCTGCGGGAATTATCCTCCTCAGTTACCTGGGCCTCGATGTGCTCGGCTCGATGGGCGATCCTGAGGTGGGATCTCGCTTCCTCATTGCATCTCGGGTGCCGCTGTTTCGGAGAATTTCTGAAATCACTACGGAAGAGATCGTCATTCGAGTCTTCTCGGGCATTGCGGCTGGCATAGGCTTATTGGCCAGTCAGGGTGGTTTCTATTATCTCTTCGCATTCACCAGCGTTCTTGCGAGGTGGAGTAAGCCGCAGGACTGGCCTCCATTCTACGGAGCCTTGTCGGATGCGTATAGCCTGCGAAGACTTTGGAGGTAAACACCCCCTGTTCTTTTCTTTTTCGGTATCGACTAATACCGGCATAGTCGCGTGTGGCACCAATCAAATTCCCACAAATTCCGTACGATCTCTCGATTTTTCTCACGCGATGTCTTTCGCTTCCAGCCAGGGACGCTTGCCGACCGATATGCCAAGGTCGTGATGGTGTTTGCAACCTCAGCTTTCATGCACTTAATCATTGACCTGTCGTCGGGGCTATCGCCCTCTAGCTCCGGGGCTGTACAGTTCTTCGGCACGCAGGCCTTCGGATTAATGCTGGAAGATCTGGCCGTCAATGCCTACTCTGTTATACTTCGTGGTGGCGGGCCGTCCCGCAACTGGACGGCGTCCCGCGGTGAACGGATGTTTGGGTTTCTCTGGGTCGGAAGCTTTTTGGTCTGGTCGTTTCCTGCGTATCTTTATCCGATGCTGTATCGATCCAACGCTGGTCTCAACGACTCGGTGGTCCCCGTAAGCGTTGTTGGAATGTTACAAGGCAAATAATGCGACCTGGTGCAGCCACGGTCGGCAATGAGCTATAATTGATCAGGTTGCCTATGTTGTACAGAGCAGGCGGTGATGATGCATAAACGGGATGCGGGTTGTGGTTTCAGCCCCAAAATGTGTTGTGAGGTAGTAATTGGTATTTTCAAAGTGTTTTGGTACTAGTAAATTTGTATTTATTTTCGATACTGTATTTACCGCTTATCGCAGGGGGATCAGAAAGGTTTGTAGTTAAAATCCCGACTAAGTCCGAGACACTCCCGCGTGCCTGCAACGTCTCCTTCCGTGGCCCCCATTGCTCCTTGCATGCATGATTCGTGTCCAAGATGCTTTTTGAGTCGCATAGTAAGTGGCCTGTCAGCCTAACACAGGCTGATACCCCTATTGCTATGTATGTTAAGTTGGGCGTCTTGATCGCCTCTGGTTCCTCGTGACTCCTTGTCCTCTTACCTTGCATACTATCGCGAGCTACCGGTCGACTCCCAAAGATAGCTGTTGACACAGCAAAGCCGCCTACAGCTCAGATATCGATGGAGGAAACCGACTCCATTCAATCTGAAGGTTCAACAAACCAGGCTACAACACCAACGGAGACATGGCGGCTAGCAATCGTTATTGTGTCTTTGTGTTGTGGAACTTTTCTGGTTGCTCTCGATACTACTATCATCAGTGTCGCTGTGCCCAGTATCTCCACTACATTCCAGGCCTTTGATGATGTGGGTTGGTACGGCTCAGCCTATCTTCTGACGGTCACAGCGTTTCAACCCGCCTTTGGCAACGTGTTCCAGCTCTTCGATGCAAAGGCGACTTATCTTGGTGTCGCCGTTCTGTTTGAAGGTAAGTCTACTGAATAGTTCACATTTGAGTTACCATGTTGACCTAGAAGCGGGATCCGTACTATGCGCTGCTAGTCCGAGCTCCACGGCCTTTATTGTCGGTCGAGCAATCACGGGGGTTGGTGCTGCTGGTCTATATCAAGGCGCTCTCAGCATCGTTGGGCTGAGCGTCCCGTTAGAGCAACGGCCGATGTACCTGGGAATAGTGCTGAGCGTGTTCGGTATCGCTGCATGTTTGGGACCACCACTGGGAGGTAATCTTACACAACATGTGACCTGGCGCTGGTGTTTTTGGATGTAGGGCTCTTCATCCTACTCGTTGATCTTGACTGACCGTAGCTCAATCGCTCAGCAACCTACCCATCGGTGGCGTGGCAATCATCCTGGTATTATTCTTCCTCAAGCTTCAGGACCGTCGAGCAAAACCAGAAGCCTCAATTCTCGCGCGCCTCCGATCCTTCGATTACATTGGAATCACTTTGACTATCGCCTGGGTGTCCTGTTTAATACTCGCCATGCAATTTGGCAGCAGTTCTAGCAAATGGCGCTCGTCCAAAGTGATTGGTCTGTTTGTTGGCGCAGGCCTGCTTTTGATCGCCTTTTTTCTCTCCCAATGGTATCAAGGGGAGCGTAGCACCGTTCCCCTTCGAGTTGCGCGCCAGCGCTCTGTGCTGATGGGCGCTCTGTATTCGTTTTTCCTAGAGATCAGCATCTACGTCGTAAGCTTCCAGCCTGAAATACAATCTTCTGGTATTCAACTCATTATGTATACAGACACTCTACTATATCCCATTCTACTTCCAATCCGCCCAACTTGTTTCCCCAACAGTTAGTGGTGTCCGGGGAATCCCTCTGGGCGTCTCTCAAATCGCTGGCGTTGTCCTTACAGGCGCCATTGTGTCAATGACAGGGCATTACGTGAGTCACCAGATTCCCGACTTCCATGATTTATGAGCGCTGCTGACCCAAGGTCCACTGCCAGGTTCCATTCATGGTCCTGGGCCAAGTCATCTCTATCATAGGCACCGCGTGCCTGACCAAGCTCGAAGTCGGCACCTCGACTGCATTATGGGCGACATTTCTCGTCATCGCCGGAGTCGGACATGGTTTGGGATTACAGATGCCTTTCACAGCAGTCCAAGTCGTTCTAAAGTCAGACAGCACAACCATCCCTCTAGATATCGCTAACATATACTTTACAGCGACGACGATATACCAATTGGTAATGGTAAGTGGCAGTATCTCTTCGGTGCCAGTAAGTCGCTCGCGCTGACCAACTCGACCTCAAGCAATCACTGTTTTTTTCTCCCAACTCGGCGCGTAAGTACTATTCACCGTGCAGATGACTCATTTAATGGCAGCTCACAATGTTCCGATCTATCAGCGCCATAGCCGTCGCCATCGGAGAAAGCATTTTCGAAACGAGCGTTGCGCACCAAGTCCGCACCTCTCATCTTCCCATTGCTGCAGAGACCGTCATCGCCGCTGGTCCGACCGGCCTACGGTCGCTAACCACTGATGCGACCATCCTCCGCGCGCTGCAAGATGCTTACGCTTATGGAATTCGGGCGGTAATGGACTTTGGGCTTGCGGCCGCATGTCTGGCGGTCCCATTCGCTCTGGCCATGGAATGGCGCAACGTTAAGAAAGAGGCGGCGAGCAAAAAATTGGCGAAAGAGGCCGCGAATGGGACGGATAATGAACAAGCGACGACTGAAAAGCAAAAGAATGACTTGGAGGAGGGAAAGTAGCTCGGAAAGGCTTACTAGACTGGCCTCATTGACATGTCGTATAACATACATTGTGACCTTATCTACTAGAACTACTTTCAAATCAATAAATAGAAGGAATGGGGCTAAGATGATCCCATGAACCAGAATTCTCACAATTTCAATTGCACTCTACTTAATTCGACTACTCGGATTCATAGCGAGTCCTCTGTAACTGCTGAGCGATGCGCTCTAGCATGACTCAAGGGATGTCTCAGTGAAGGCCAATCAAAGACAGAACGGTGTCAGATAAGCAAGAATGACCAAACGTGCATCGACACTTCTCGTTATGGCTCATCTAATGCCGATCTTTCAAACAGGGCGTTCCGAAGTCAGTGTCAACCCACCCGTACCCTGTCAGCAAGTCAAGTGCCCCGCTGCTTGCAAGTGCGCTCGAGGCCAAATCGCCGCTTTGTAAGGCAGAATAAGGGAGGTCCGACATTTAGTTTCAATCATGACTGTTTCTTCATGGTATGGCTTGTAGTCAACACAAAAGAGGACTCATTTGTTAGTGCCTTACAAACGCTCCGATCTCGATAGCTAACGGCCTAACACTACTTAGTGAGACACCCTCATCCTTCAGATACAGATAGTGTATGACGGCTGATGAGCCGGTTAGGTGCTTGTAATTTTCGAAACGAACACTGTCCCACTATGCATCTACCCCGACAATGCTTACTCGTCGCCCCGCCTCCCTTGCTATGTGTAAGCTCAAGAATTCTTACACTGCCAATGATTGTCTCTCAGCTATTCATAGCCCGCAGTGCAATGGACCCTGAAGGTTGGGGCGCTTAAATCCGCAAAAAGTCTTACACACGGCGTGCGGTGCTTACAATCCGGGCGACTGTTGCAGTGTCGGAATGGATGGGGCGGTGCAGCGAGTCTTTACAGCTGCATACATCGCTCATTACTTGCATAAGGATGGAATGCTGTGGGCCAAGGCTGACCACCACTGCGTCTCCGGACGTATAGTATATTCAGCTATGTCTGCCCCTCCATTCCCGTCGCAGTCCACTGCGAAGAAGCTGCGTTGGTCCTCGTATCCCCAGAGGCGTACACTTTGAAGTGCCATGGCGAATAACTATATCGATGAGGCTACATTTGTGGTATGTCTGGAGGAACACCTCCCGCCTTAGCTTGAAGCTTCTATCTTTCCTCAAGCTTGGCTGACTACTTTTCTCCTGACAAGGCCGTGCTTTGGGTCTGTCAGACCATTACGTTCTTCTTCGTCGTTATTCGGCTGCTCCTCCAATATCTTGTCGACCGGAAATGGCACACACACGATGTCCTGATCTTAACGGCTTGGGTGCTATCTCTTGCCAATTGCATCGTGTGGTCGGTATGCTATAAGCAGATGTTCTTCATAACAATCCTTACCACAGGACCAATCGATTTCTCCAACTTGCCAGAAAACATTGCCGCCATCGAGGTGCGATACCTGCGTGGGCAGCTGGCCGGATACCTCCTCTCGTATACTAGTCTGTGGTCGGTCAAGCTGTCCTTCATATTCTTCTTCCAACATCTGGGAAATCGTTTCCGTGCACAACGCATCCTCTGGTGGGTGGTCTTGGCATTTGTTATTGCCTGCTATGGAGGTACACTGGGTGTCCTGGACTATGCATGTGAGATGGCTTCCTTTGAGGATAGCATTGGTCAGTATAATTCTTCTTTCCCTCCAAGTAGTGCTTACAAGTTAACCGCAGTGAAATAGAGGCTTGTGCGAGTGCGTATTCAATCTGGTATGAACGGGTAAGCCTGAAGGTCTCGACGAGTATGGATATTGTATCTGATGCAGCTAGTACGTACTTCCAACCACCCTCGCATTTACTTCAGTCTAACTCATCTCGTTATATAGTTATCGTTCTCTCTGGTCACGTCATGTGGAGAGTTAAAATCGACATTCGGAGAAAGCTCGCCTTGATCGGTGTCAGTTTCCTAACGGCGTTTATCATCATCATAGCGCTGGTGCGACTTGAGCTGAGTGTCTCAGGAACGGGGATCCTAAGCCCTGCCTGGCTGGTTTTCTGGAACGCGATCGAGATCTGTGTTGGTAAGTCTTCTCGAAAATACAGTTGACTTGGAACATGCGGAACGATATCTGACTATGCGAACAGCAATCATGATGGCTTGCCTGGCGTCATTCTGGACCTTTTATACTAAATTGAAGAGACACTCACCCGGTCCTCGGTGGCGCGCTGGGGGACTCCCTCCGCGCGATTATGCGTCTCTCGAAAGACCAATCCTGCTGAACGGACAATTCAGCGATAGAGACAAACATAACCATTCAGCACTCTCGATGCAGAGCCATAACTCGCAGAATACGGGACAGGGTATTCCGAGGGGGAAGACGGAGGAGCCTTAGGGGGGAGGTGATTTTGCAACGGGCACCTTTCCCTTCGGGGAGGAGGAAGGAAAGATCTGATGGCCTGGTTCAGTGAATGTCCCAACAAATGTAGTAAGCGATCATTCCAGACTTTATCCCAAACATCTCCCGCTTACCATCATTTTTTATCAGCCTTAGAAGGTTCCAATATGGACTAAACATGCGAACTGCAGCCATCTTATGTACAATCTTGGGTATGCATTCTGTACTATGTCGCACTTTACTCCGGCTGTATCAAGTCTGGTTTGCGGTACGATACGATAAAGCAATTGCCTTGCCAAGTAGACAAAAACGATGTGTTGCTGGCCGCCAGAGAATCCAGGTCGATGCATATGTGGAGATCATATTGAAGACAATTCCATGTTTAAGGTATTGGGGCGACAAAAAATGTGAGATAGTCTTTTAACTCTCCATGCCAATGGAGATAGTCGTACAGAGAGGACATCTCATCTTGTAAGTGGGATAACAAGCGTCTGCCTATAAATCGTTTGACGGTATGTTCTCAATCAGGAGTACTTATGAGGTGGCGACTTCACAGCTCTGTTGTTTAGCAGGGCTTCCAATCGCTTTCTGAATCACCACCAAATTCAATCGGTGATAGCTTCACTCTTACCTTTTTTTTTTTTTTTTTTTTTTTGATAGCTTCACTTTTTCCTTTTTTTTTTTTTTTTTTTTTTTTCAGAGAGACAGTAAGATTGTAAACCATGAGTGCCCAATATTCACGGAGATGGGAGAATGAGATGACAGGTTGGGGTAAAGCATGATGAACATCATAAATGGGGACAAGAAGAGGAGAGGAAACAGTAACCCTGTAACTTTCCAGAAAGAGCAACTTCTGACTTCGTCTAAGAAGATATTCGCAGGGCAGTCACTACAACTGTGCTGAGTATTCACTTCGAGCAAGCACATTCCCGGTGGGCTTGATGGTTTACTCAGATACCAAAATCCTTGATCATAAAAAACTCAGATTCTCCCCCCCGCCTATCATAAACCGGCGAACCACAAGGCTGTCATTAGGGGAACAAGTTAAGATGGGATTTACTACGATTTTCTGGGTGTTTATAGAATTTGATTGCCATGCGAAATGAAGACTAGGCTTTGATGATTACAAAGTACTAGTAGCCGGAGGACGAGGAATTTTAAACATGAGGTTGGATGGAAGACACCAGTCATCTATAAACTCAATAATTATCATAAGTATACAGACACTCAGTATTCTATGGTAGAACTTTACCGATGTAAGACTATCTATCTACTAACTGTGACAACTGGTCACATGACCAACGAACTTAGTGAATTGAAGCTTTATAAGAGATGCGCGTTCTGAGTCTGTTGACTCAGAATTCTAGTCTTTTACTGGATAGTCCAACGGAATAACTCCTGAAGCACACCAGGCGGGATCGTGACACTTAACTGTACCGACGTACACGAGGAAGTGCTTGACTTCCATTTGAGGTCACTCTGCATCAGGTCATGCTTCTGACGAAAGCTTATTTATATGCGGCAATAACCACCTTGGTCGAATAGAGCTGAGTATGGAAGCCACCATCCTGAGCACCTGCCTTGTGTTCTTTGTGTTTATGAGTCCATGTAAGACAATCAACAGAAGTTCCGATGAACCTCTTCCCCGTCCCACACATCAAATACTCAGACAAGCTAACGCATCATTCTTTTTCAATAGCCAGTCTTCATTAAACGATAGCTTTATGGAACGTGGCCTTGAAAACTGCCTTTGCAACAGCATACCGACTGAAGCAGTCGATCTCCAAGATAACAGACATCCCATTGCCTTTTTGAAGGTGAGGATGGTCCTATATATTCCTATACTCACAACTGCATCAGCGTTAAGTACTGAAGTCCGATTTGACATAGAAAAAATATCTAATATCTCAACAGCAGCAAGACAGGTATGCAAAAAAGAGCTGCATGCTGTTGAATGGCTCTGCATGAGCCGAATGGTGAGGGACAGTCTTTGGAGGAGTCAGGTTCATCGTGCGCCTGCCGTCCCGGAAAGGTTTTGGAGGATATACTTCGCTACTTCGAAAAGATCGAGGCGCAAAGAGCAGGCGCAGGGCAGCCCAGAGCTGGTACAGTTCCTGGGCCTGCCCTCCAGATGGCTTCGCCAAATACGTACGGCATGCACTGGACCGACGTATCAATGCAACATATTAAGCCAAAAGCTTTTGCAGCTGTCCACAAACACGCCACGAAGCAGCATGATGCTGTGTAGCCTGAGTTTGCTCGCGTTATCCTACTTAGGGTGACAATGGGGATGAAAAGGCCTTTCTGGTCTAATGTTCGGGTTCAACCGAGACCCTGGTCGCATGCCTACATACCTGAAATGCCTCAAGGCGATAGGTAGTCTTAGAGAGGGAGCTACTAAGCTGACGCCATTGACCAAGACATTTCAAGTGGCTTATGCCGACGGCAAATACACTGGAGGCGACCGTACGGCAGCGCCCCGAAGGCGCCTGGTAAAGGCCCCCTCGAAGGAGATCCTCGCGCTCTACGAGGGTCTGCCAAAGGCGTACGCGTCCGTGATCATGCAGAGGCGCACGCAGCGGATCGGCCTAGCCCATATCCTCTACAAACTCAAGGCGCAGGAGAGTGACCTTTGCAGCTGCGGGCAGGGGTCCCAGACCCCGAAGCACGTTCTACTAGCGTGCTCCGGCTTCGTAGGGCTGCGCAATCAGATGCTTCATAAGATCGCCGCACGAACGGGTAAAGAATACACAACCGTCCGGTTGTACTCGGGTAGTTGATACTTTAAATAAACTATTTGCTCTGTTTCAAAGCCTAAATTAGTAATTACAGAATAACTGGATAATTGGATTTCTTAGCTGGTCACGGTTCTCTGCCAAGCACCTCGGACCTGCGCGAGCTTATCCCCTGCAGTATAACAAGAATCACTGGTTGTTCGTGGGGCAAGCCTTCCGATGTGCTTTCTCCTGTCTTGTTGTCGATGACTGCCACCTTCAGGAGAAACGGGTTTTATCTGATGTCTTCTTGTGTGTCTGCAGATTTTTCTCTAACTTGCTTCAAGAAATATTCTAAAGTCAGTAAATGCTCACCAAGTAAGATATGAAGAACGAGGGAATACTGGTCAATAGTCTTTTTAACCCTGCTATTGTCATGCATGTCTGTCCGTCAAGTCCTTGTCCACTCATTCTGAAGATGTTAGTCAAATACACTTGAAGTCCGAGCTGGTGAGCGTTCATAAGCGGATAGGGATGTCTTCTTCGTCTTCTTCTGGACAGAATCCAAACGGTTCAGAAGCACGGCACCCGATCAGATACCAATGAACTCTGAGCAGGTACGCGTCCGCGTCTCAATGGGAATACTCAGAGGTCGTAATTGAAACAAAAAGGAGACACTACGAGAGCATAGAAAGGTGAGTCGGTAAGACCTTGGCAGTCATGGGACCCACCTAGTCCCAAAATGGACTGGCAATGGACAGACTTAGTAGAATTTCGAAAGCCGTAGTTGTACCTCTCCCCTCACCATACCGCACACTCCGACAATAGTTCTTTTAACTTTGTTAGAAAGGTAAGTCTCCCAATTCTAATCTCACAATGCCGTCCTCTAGCAAGGCCAGAAAGGCCAAAATGGTTAAGAACCAACCCAGCATCAAAAAATACTTCAAGAGGAAGCAGGATGAGGTCAAGGCACCAATTCCAGCTACCTCTCGTCCGATCAAACGTCGCCGGGCCTGTGGCCTGGATGATGGGTCGGATGGGGATGGCAGCGGCTGCAAGGACAGTGTCCCTGAAAACAAGCTGCCATCAAGTGAAGGTGATCGCAAGCTGGACAGTGTCCAGAAGGCCTCACCTTCGCTCCTGAAGTGCGGGGAAAGTGAGATGGACTGCGTCCATCCTGCGACCCTGCCTGATGACGATTCTGCCCTCATCAGTGATGGGGAACAGGACGTTATCGACGTCGAAGTCGGCGACAATGAGTATATTGCCTGCCCAGACGACGACGTCGAGGTTAACGATAAGTTCGAAGTCATAGTGACTTATGCAACTCATCGCCTCACCACACCTGTCAAGACGGACACAAAGTTTCTTATCCAAAGGCGCTTCCGGGTCAGTGACCCAGAAGACCGGATAAGAATGCGGGCTGGCCAAGAGGTCCAGCACGCTGATATGTCGCTAGACAGCGAGCTTGATATACAGTGTATGTCAGCTTCAACAGTGCTGCAGGCTGGTCCAAGGTGTCCAGCAGGATGATACGTCGCTAGACGGCGGCTTGATACATGTGTATTGAGCTTCATCTGGAACTGCAGGCTGGCCAAGAGGTCCAGCACACTGTTTCATCACACGACAGAGAGCTTGGTATACAAGGTATATCAGCTTTCTCATCCAAAGTGTATCCGGGTCAGTGGCCCAGAAACATGGATGAGAATAGCAGGCTGGCCAAGGGTCCAGCACGCTAAACCTGTCACTAGACGACGAGCTGAGTATACAGTGTATTTCAGCTTCATCATCCAAAGTGTTCCGGGTCAGTGACCCAGAATACTGGGTGAGAATAGCAAGTTGGACAGAGTCCACAATGCTAAGTCGTCACCAAACGACAAGCTTGAATGCCAGCGGCATTCACTATAGCTTGGAGTCGATGACAGTGGTATCGTCAGGGATGAGAAGAGTCTCTTTTACCCCGGTGATGTCGATGGTGATGCCAAGTTCGAAGAAGTGATAGTCACTTATTCATTGGCATTTGTCCACTGTCAATGTCAATGCCATTTTGCGCAAAGTTTGCGTGAGGCGACTGACAAACCGCAAGGGTGGTCCTCAAATTGTTTTTGAGAAGGGAGTAGTCTTAGAGGCTCTCTACCTCCCATTCATGGCGACGGGTGCGGTTTTGTCCCTGGTGATATGGATCACCTGGGCAATACCCGCTGTGAAACCTGTGTAGGATCACACCGTTGCTTGGATAGCTGCACCGAGCAGGGTCTAGCTATAGCTAGACTTTGCTCTGTTCAGGAATTGCCAAAGGCACTATGCCGGGTACAAGCCGAACCATGACAGTCTTGACTGGCACAAAGGGGCCCTTCCTGTAGCTGAATTCGGCCAAGATTGCAGGAAACCTTGCAATCAGGAAGAATGCTGGAGAGGACGTGGGTGGTTTCAATTGATGAAAGCTTGTTGCACATAGCTTAGGCTTGTTGCGAACAGTTTGGGCTTGTTGCAAACAGGTGATTTCTGTTGCGAACAGCTTGGGCTTGTTGCGAACAGTTTGAGTTTGTTGTGAACAGCTCGAGTCTCAGAAACATTTGCATGGGGCAATAGTCGCATGCATCGCTCTAGTTCCTCTTCTCAGGTAAACTCTTGTGTCATGTCTGCTTCTTCTTGTTGAAACAGCAAAAGGCTATGGTCGGAAGAGGACACCAATGTATGGCGCCTCTGAAGGTACCCGCGCTGGCGGTGGACTTAAGTGTTTTACACGCTTACCCACAATGGCTCCATGCGGACGACTGATGACCCAGGGCCGCAAGGGCTGGGTCGGATGCGTCAACTACGCAAGGATAAAGCACCCATAGTTTGCAGCAATAGCAACTGTGGACTTGTTGAGGACTTGACGACGGGAGATCTTGTGAACCCACAGTCGGCCACAACAATGTGTCCTCGGTGTGATTGTCATTACATCGAGGATAAGAGACATAGCGTGCCCACTACACCGTCTCGTTAAAGCCGGAGCCAGATCCAAGGAGAACTGAGGTGACGGCCGGTCGTGATATTGCACTCATTGTTAGAAGCAAGAGACTCCGACCGCAAATATCGAAGTTTACGTGGGAAGTTTCCCATGAACCCGTCTGTCACTGTTGTGATGGTAGAAAGGGACTTCGTAATGGGGTTTCATTGACACATAGAGTGTCATTGAAGTGTATGCAAGGCATACGCATTACCCTCCAGGTAGGCATCTGCCGACCTGGTACTGCATCATAGGGTGCGGCTATGGTGCAGTAGCCGGACGATGTGGCCCAGCCACATGCTCACACCTTCACGCGGTGTCCGGTGTTGATCGCCAAGAAGCGAGACCAAGATGAGCGCTGAAATTTAATGCTGGCTATTGTAGGTATGGTTAATCAATGTATGAGCTAACCCCAACTCTCGCTACTTTCACCCTCAAAGCATTACTGTCTTGCCCGCGAATTCCCATTTAGATTACATTCGAAACCTTAGCTAAAACATAGACCTTCGATGGTGACACCTTTGTCATCTTCAAACCCGGCGCTTGTATCGGCTTTCAATAGGCGTGCCAAGTGCAGGTTGGAAATGGAAAAGGAGCAATGTTAGTGACTTACACCTGTGGCTCGTTTGTGGAACTTCCTCGTGCTAATCAAAGTTGATCAGTCTTGAGCAATCTAGAGAACATGGACCTCCTAAGCGGGCCGATATTATTGACGTGTAAGGGATGTGTTAAGATGAGAAAGCGTCTATGCAGTCTATGGGGTGAACAACCACTTGTATCGCCAATATGTACATAGAACAAGACGTGAGGAGGCCCCAAGGGGACCACGCTGATACATTGTCCCACAACACGACCATACCGAAAGCTACCGGGAGTGGCGAAGAGACATATTGGACCATGAGGGGATGCAGAGAGGCTGGGCTACGGGTATCTGATCGGTTGAGAAACTACACGAATGGCTTCACGAAGCAGGAAGCAGCAAGCGAATGATATGTTGCGCTGAAGTGGACATACGTTTAAACTTAAGACTCGTGGCTGCGGCCAAACCGCTCGTCGGCGACCAGACAAGACTTGTTATATTGCACTCATCTTCTTCACTAACAGCAGCCAAGGACGCGCATACCATTGAGCAGGAAGCCAATATGACATCGTCTTCCTAGCCTCTAAAGCACAAAATCGGACTTCTTGTGAGAATAAGTCTTGGATTAATGCAAATGACCTAGCTGTCAGAAAGCATCAAGATCAATGTAGACTTGCTTGCCAGCATTCTAATCCAATGGTCCATTTCGAGCCAACGGCGCTTTGAAGGAGCAACCAAAAGCACATGGGCAACACGGTCACCTGGGGTATTGACATAGACCAGAGTAAGCCAGCATGGTTTATTTAGCAGACACTGATGCAGTGTCTAACACGCAACTCAATATCAGCGAGAACCCGACAAAGCTGCTGCTGATAATCGACACCTGATCCAGCCACCCGTCCATGGACCGCGCCTTGCATGGAACCTTATAAAGTCACATCGTATAGTAAGAGTTATAGGCGCTTAGTATTGACTGATGCTTTGGGAACAAAAGCTCGGCCTAGTACTTGAACTAGATCCAAAGATCAGCGCTGGGCGGGAGACTCTGAACTCTAGTGCTCGAGATCAAAATGTAGGAAGGCCCACTGGAAGGAATTGCAACCTCATTAGCACGGGGACGTTTTTTGGACAATGATTTAACTTCAATCGGGGTTCTCCCTCTGGTTCATGTGTACTAGCCTCGCTAGCATGGTTGTTATGCCGTGTTAGGACTGCCTGGGTGGTTGTTTGCTGTGGATTATGGGCTGGACGCAGATACGGAGGTTGAATATGAAGAGTGGTAGTTCGCATCGTTGTATAGGAAGCGAGTGGTATGGAGAGGGATGTCGGGTGAAGGGAGGTAGCAGAGTTGATGAGGTCTTCCTCGTGGATGATGGGCATGATTCATAGATACTGAGAGCCTCGGATAATGGGATAGCACTAAAGAAAAGCAAGAGGTCAGCGGCTGGGTATAGAGTGGGCATGGATCTTTGAAGAGTCGCTAATTATCATCAAATTAACGCGGGTGGGAATAGAGAGGCTCGCAGTTCATCGACTCGTGATATTATGAGGTGATCTCCTAGCGAAGGGTAAATGAGGTGCTGACGAAAATAAGCGAGTATTCAGAGAGAGGGAGAAAGGTGGTGTGGGAGAGAGAATCAGCCTAGAAAAGACATTATAGAGAACAAGACGAGAGTGTCCACGGAAGACACTGGCTACGTAAAAAGCGAGGCTTTAAGACCAACCGGCCACGGCAACTGCCAATACTATAAAGTAGTGCTTCCCTGCGCTAAACATGTACTCGGTAGAGAGTGGTAATGTATCTGCCTTGGGATCATTCTCTTAACAGCCATCCTTCTAGGTCTCTACTGGTATTTTATGGTCGCTTGATTCCCTTCCTACAGCGGGTCCATATTGGCGAAGAAAACCACGCTCACCAGTTGGGCATCCTTACAGGCTTCGTAGATCGTATGGGTCTTGCTACATTTAGTACGGGAATGTGGCGGACTACACCTACTCAGAAAGTAGTGAAGTATATCAAGAAAGAAAGTAAAAAAAGAAGTTCTCATTCTCAGGCGTCTTCGGTCTCGTCCTCCCAACCATTCTCCTCCTGGAGGCGGATGTACTCGTCAACGGCCGCGAGAGCGTTCACCAGCACCTCCCTCCGCTCATTCCAGCGCCGCTCTTTCTCCTCGATATTTAGGAGATGGCCTATATACTCGTCCTCCAGGCGAAAAAACTCCTCCATCAGCTCTCGCCGCCTCTGCGCCTTCGCGGCGGCCTCCTCCGGGGTCTATGTGTATCTCATTAGATACTATCATAATGAAAACAATAGTATCTTGTACTAACAGTTTCGGCGGGCCCCGGCCCGGTCTGTTGCTGTTGCTGCTGTTGCTGCTGCTGCTGCTGCTGCTGCTCCTACAATAAACTTTAGTTAGTATCAGAAGCAAGTATAACACAAATGAGCTATATTGTGATGATAGTGTGAGGTGTTGTATACTATTCGACTGAATGCTGTTGTTGACGAGGGGACGCGAGGGAATAAGTGATATAAAGTAATTGAGAGTATACTCACTTCGTTGGCTAGAAGGAGACAGTAAGTATGGGTTGATAGGTGTGTATTGATGTGGAATTTTCTGAGGTGGTACTTACCAGGCATGGTGGTAGTAGTAGTAGTAGTAGTAGTAGTAGTAGTAGTAGTAGTAGTAGTAGTAGTAGTAGTAGTAGTAGTAGTAGTAGTAGTAGTAGTAGTAGTAGT